AAATAACTGACATTAAAGTGAGAAGGCTAACTTGAACATATGAATTTTGAGTTGTGATTTGAAAGTAAGAAGAGTCAATATTATGAATGTCGGGGGAAGAGCGCTCCAGAGATGGGGAGCAGAGTGAGAGAAGGCTCTGTTTCCCATGGTGCTGAGGCAGACAAGAGGCACGTTGAGATGGATGGAAGAGGAAGAACGGAGGGAGCGTGAATGGGTAGTGATGTGTAATCCATGTGTAAGTGTTCAACAAAACCTTAATAAGTTTTCATCTTCCTGTAACCTGCCGGCTGCTCTGTGATGTCCACATCACCTTTTCATGAGAAATTTAATGACTGTTTGCAGGAAAACTTGGTCTAAACATTTGGTTATATTTGGAATAGTTTGGAAACTAAAGTCAGCCAGCTGCAGCATCACAGATGTGTGGGGGATATCTGAGTTTGAACTGCATTAATGTGGACTGAAGTGRAGTGGAAACATGTCAAACAAGCCATGATGATGAGTCAAATAATTACAACTTGCTGYAATGTTCAAGTTTTAAACACTAGTTTTGTTTTGTTTTACTGCCAATAGGCAGGAGATACCCGGAGTAGATCATTTCTCCCAGATACCAGCCTGTAAAATGTTCTTAGAATTTATTTTGACCTGTTGCCAARTCYTCTTTAGTCCAGTCATGTTCGCACTGTGGAGATATTGCTGGCCCCAGGGGCTTCTGCATTGTAGTTGTTGTGGGGGAGGGGGGGCAGTTCCTGCGGTGGCTCTGTGCTTGGGGTCCCTCTCGGTGCCTTTGGCTCTGGTCTTCCTCAGAGGTCGGACCTGTGAGTCTCCACTGTCACTATTAAACAGACGTGTGGAGAAACCTTATAAGCATGCTCACAACTGCACACAGGTTCAGATCCAAGTGTTTCTCAGATATATGTGGGGACTGTTTGCCACCAAACATATTTTATTTATCATAAAATTATACTGTGTATACTTTTCAGTGAGATTATAATTATTATATACACGTTTGTTGCATTTTCATTTTGTTTTCTCTCTTTTTGCAGGTGCAGAGGCAGACTGTGTTGTCTTGTGTTTGTGCTTCTCTCTTCTTTACAATTTTCTCCTTGTTTCCCTTTTAATCTCTTTCTTCACCTTTCTCCGTTTTTCTTTTCCGTCTCTGCGTCCGTTATATAAAGATTCAAATAGTCACCAGACAAGCGGAACCAAGTGAGCTCAGACGGAGACAGATTTAACAAAAGGTAAGTGCTTTTATTTGCTGTAGCTGGATCCAAAACTGCAAGGAGGAAGGAGAAGGGGAAAAGGTAAGTCCAAAATCTTAAGATGATATCAGAATTAAAGCTGTGGTTAATATGATTGTTTTCCAGTTCTGGTCCAACACTGTGTACAAGGSATCCAATATGAAGACCTTTAACTTCAGGCAGAGTGACCCGGAAGAACCAGCACAGGTAAGTGCAGGTGAGCAATAGTCCATCCTTTAATTTCCTCAGGCAGGTGAGCAGGTGATCATTACAAAGCCTCTTTCTTGGTGGGGCTATTCTTTTTATGGAACATACTTTAATCCTGGACAAGAGCAAAAACAAGGTTACAAGGCAAAGTACTACAAAACTATGAAGGCTTTAGCATCTAACCAAGTTGATGAATCAGTGTAAACCAGACAAGGGTGAGCCTTAAAGAAGGATCCAAAGCTCAACAGCATGGATTGCCAAAACCGAGAGCATTGTTTAGTAATCCATGCGCACAGATTGCAGAAACTGAGAGCACGGTTTAGTAATCCGTGCTCTCGGATTATTAAACTGAGCACACGGATTTCCAGTGGCTGTTCTTTTTTTTTTTTTTCTCCCACTGACCCCTGGCGGGCTCCGTATTGTCCTGCTTCTCTTATGTTAATAAATCCATAACACAAACAGCTTTTCTGGCATTATTTAAAACATTAAATAGATTATATAAACTGTAAAATATCAATAATAATCTTGTTAATGATATTATTAATAGTTTTCATGATTTCTACATCGTCAGTCCTTTTTTCTGCTCTGTTGCCAACATGTACAGTAATGGTAAATCCAGACTTGACCATTTTTTCGTTAGCCATTAGCTTCGCCATCCGATCACACGGTCACGTGGTTTCTGAGCACTCCAGCTGTTCTATATAATCTCCTTGGTCCAGACTGCAATATTATAAATGGCCTCATGGTGGCAGATTTTCCTGCAGAATAATCTGTGAATCTGTTCTGCTGAGAAAAATCAGACTGCTGGAGCAGACCCCAAACTGGGTCAGAGTTGGGGGTCCATCATAGGACCAGCACAGAGACTCATCAAGTCAGCTCAGAGCCTGCAGTTCAACAGATTCTGAAGGAGGAAGCTGATTAACCTCAGATCATCTGTAGTCAGATGTTTTGAAACATTTTAATTTCAAATCAAATCTGTTGTGAAACAGATACTGCCTGGTAAGACTGTTAGAAATGTCTGCAAATGTTTTATGAGGGGTTCTGTGAAAAGGCGTGTTGGGACAGAGGAAGGTGGTTTCAGCTGGTTCCACCCTCCCTGTTTGGATCTGAATTCTCTTCCCTCGGGCGACCTGTTTCTACATGTCTTTATCTTCACACGGCAGCTTTTTTTTACAAGTGTTTCTGTTTTTAAAGTCCAACAAGTCTTTATTGTTTTGAAAATAAATACAACTTTTACAAGTTCCTTTCTAAAGTTATGTTCAAACCAGACTCAGGATATCAGGAGATATTTACAGTACATTCAACACATTCCTGTCCAGATAAACGGTGATTACTGAAATATTTTGGTGTGTCCTAGTCTTTAAACTGGAGGRGGAGTTCAACATGCTGTCTTAAACTGTTTGAAAAAAAAAACAAAAAAAAAACAGGAACAATAAGTGCAGATAACATGTGATCACCTTTATTTTGCTACAAAAGAAAAACTTTTTATTTAGTTCAGCGATTCAGGTAAAAAATGTATTATTTTAAACAGGTGACATGAAGGTCATATCAATATATTTAAATTGAATCACATAAGAAATTTTTGGGGGAAATATTAACTTTCTTCAAAGAACAGAAAATTCAATTTTATTTTATCTTGTTCAGGATGATCAACTGATTGGCAGTCAGAAAGATAGAGGAGGAGGACAATCCTTTATTTTTATTTATTTATTTATTTTGATTTCCACACATTTTCTGGTACTTGAGACAAAATGACAACATGTAACTGAAGCACCAACCCTCTGAACCAGTTCTGTTAAACTACAAATGAAGTTAAGACATTAACTTAGGTTCGGGAGCAGGACCAYGCCTCTCACCTGCAGCAAKCARTCGTCGTCTATTTAAACTCGCCTCACCTGGCGTCTGCCCTTAGCTTGCTGTCTCAACACGCGTTCGTACCGCGCAAGCATTTTCAGAAAAGAAAAGGAAGAAAAGAAAGTTTCTCAACTCACCATGGACGTCCTCTTCCTGGATCCCGATTCCTCCGATTCGGAGGACCCCCTTTTCAGCTTCCAACCACCCCGCAAAGTTCCCCCACCGTCTGTCCTCAGGCAGATCCCTCGTTGGCGTGCCCGTTCGCAGCCCTACCCACCACACCCGTCCTCCTCTCAACCCGCATCAACTCCAGCGCCTCAACCCTCCGCCGCTCCTCAGTCCGAGGCCGAGCCCCGTGGCYGCAGGCTCCTCCGCCGCTCCAGTCGGCCTCTTCATCCCGCTTYTCCCCGACCCGCTGCACCCACCCGGGCACGGCGTTCCTCATCCGCACCCACAAACCRCCTCGCTCCCGCAGGATGGACCGCRGCGGAGCTCCGTAGCGCATTGCAGGACAGAGGAATTCCTTTCAACCRCTCATCCTCCAAGTCCACCCTCTTTCAGCTGCTCACCTCAACTCATYTTCAATGTTCCTCTACAGCTCAGCCATCCAAAMATCGGCACCCAACTCCAACGATCCAGCTACAACCCGCTCACCAGACCACTTMCGCCTCAGTCTTCAGCGGTGAYGTCACAGCCCCAACTCCAGCCGGGTCCATGCCAGCRCCAACAGCTCCCCCTAGTGGGAGTCAGGTCRTATCACCCCCTGTTGTTTCTGTACCTTCTCTTTCTTCACCCTCCTCATCCCAACCCTCCCACGTTGACCCWGTCGTTCAACCCCAGGCCAGTCAGGCCTCACTCATCCCCTCCGTTCATTCATCCCTTCATCCCTCTGCCTCTTTTTCTTCCCTCCCACCTCTTTCTCAATCCTTTTCGGCTCCTGTTCCCATACCCTCCTCATCCCAACCCTCCCACGTTGACCCAGTCGTTCAACCCCAGGCCAGTCAGGCCTCACTCATCCCCTCCGTTTATTCATCCTTTCTTCCCTCCCATCTCTTTCTCAACCCTTTTTTCTGCTCCCCTCCCGTTTCCTAGCGAGCACATTCAAGCTCCTCATCCACCTCCTTCATCCCTACCTTTACCATCGGCTCAACGATCGGCCATCTCGGGGCCACCTTTTACACCTCCTGCGCCTTCATTTCTCCTCTTATCCTTCCCCAATCTCCTTCTCCCGACATCCTATGTTCCTTCCCATCATTCTAACCACTACTCTCTATCTACAGCAGTACCCCCACTTCGCCCCCACCAAACCTGACTCGCCCCTCCCCAGTTTCCCCTGCTCTGCGCCAGTAGATTCTGAATGGCAATTATGTTGATTTAGCCTTACTCCTTCAGCACTCCCTTAGCCACTCCAGCCTGTCCCACGAGCTGCCAACCAGCCTGGGGCCCATGCAACCAGGCCACCCCTCAGTCTCCCGTTCCAAGGAAGTCACCCCAGCCGAGTTTGCTTTGGCCTTCTCACTCTTTAGGGACACATTTTGTTCCCTTTTCCCCGACCACCATTCAGAGCTCGATGATTATCTTTCCATCGTGCTCGATATGGCACTTCGTTTCGGAGGCATGGCCTTTTACGAGAACCATGTCCTTTTGGCCACTCAGGCAGCAGGTCGGTTAGCCCAGTTTAACCAGGRGACCTTTTGGGGTGCTCTGGACTCAGAGCTCTACTGCCTTATCTTCGCCACTCGAGCTTCCATTAGATGCAGTCTCTGTGGTGCTCCTTCCCACCCCGCCACCGCCTGCACTTTCGTTATGCCCCTCCGTTCTCGGTCCTCCGCTGCCCGTGGTCCTTCTGTTTTTGAACGTTTGTCTCCTACCGCCCCTCCCCCGATCCCCAAGTCCCTTCCTGTTCAGCGCAGGCCCGTTGCCCCTTCCCCCAGGGGCATCGACAAACACGGCTGCCCCATCTTCTACCAAGGCGGCCGCATGGTGTGCAACAACTTCAACGACCTGGGCTGCTCTATTTCTAGTTGCAGATTTCTGCACACCTGCTCCTTCTGCGGCGGCGCTCACGCCCGGTCCTCCTGTCCCCACAACCCCACCTGACTAGCACGCCACCTGGCCAYGCCCATTAAGGTGAGTGCTCAACTCTCCGTCTTAAAACACCATCCTGATTGGGATTTTGTTGAGTTTCTTATTCATGGCTTCACTTTTGGTTTTCACCTGGGTCCAGTGACCCTCCCAGATTGTACCACCCACTGCGGCAACCTTCAGTCCACCCTCTCTGAGCCAGACATAGTTGATGCCCTCTTAGCTAAAGAAGTCCAGGACCGATTCATCATTGGTCCCTTCAGCCAGCCCCCTTCTCTGTCTTTCGTGTCAGCCCCATTTGCATTGCCACCCGAAAATACTCAGGCAAGAAGAGGCTGATCATTGACTTGTCCGCCCCTCACGGGTCCCACGTACCAAGCATTAATAGTCTCATCCCTTTCTCAGACTTTTCCATGCAATACWCTACMRTCGACCACGCCATCCGCCTCATTCACTTACTTCACTGGAGTTTTTAGGCATCACCCTAGACTCCTCCTCCTTTCAGGMTTCCCTACCTCGYGAGAAGGTGCATTGCATAACCCTGATCCTCTCTAACTTCATGCTCATAGATTCCTGCACCAAACTTCAGCTGTTGTCTCTTCTCGGCCATCTAAATTATGCTATCCGCATCATCCCCCAGGGGAAATCTTTCATTTCCCATCTTTCATCCACCGCTGCCAGCATCCCGTCGCTGCATGGTCGTCTTACCCTTGACGGGGCCTGCAGGATGGAAATGAAGCTCTGGCACCATTTTCTGTCTTCCTGGAACGGCATCTCTTTCTTTACAATGATTTCATCTCCCATCCAGACGGCATTCAGCTCTACACAGATGCCGCCCCTTCCAWTGGGTTCGGCGGTTTTCACAAAGGCAGATGGTTTGCCTCCACTTGGCCCCTGGAGGTTGACTCCCTGCAACCAGATTCAGCCTCTCCCTCTTCTGCTTTGTATGAGCTGTATCCCGTTA